CCGGCCAGGCCCCCTGAGGCAGACACCCGCGAGACGCGCCCGCATATCGCCCGCAGCAGCAGCGTCCCCCCCGACGCGACGCCGCCCGTGCCTCCGCCTGCCTCTCTCAGTGTTTTGGCAGTACGTAAGCTGGGCTGGACACCACCACCGCGGCTGGACGGGCGGGGGACGCGCCGGCAACGTGGGCCCCCACACCTTGACCTTGGCCACCTCAGGGCCCCGCGCCGGGCTGCTCGTCCTGGCTCATGGCGGCGTGGGCCGGGCCGGGTCGGGCCCCCTTCTAAACTGCTGCTGCTCATCTCTCTGAAGCGCATCACAAATCTGTTCCGCGATGGCCGCCGCCGGCCCCAAATGATTCCGCATCAGCGGCAGTTTGTCCAGAGCAAATAAGAATAGAGCCCCCCCCCCTCCTTCTCCCTCCCACTCTTTCCCTCGTTCCACTCAAATCACTCTCTCTCGCTCGCTCCCTCTCACTCTCGACGCCACCAGGGCTGGGGCGGAAGGTTTGCCGAAGCGAGTCGCTGAGCGCGCATCCTCATTTACATGATTACTTCATTTTCAATGCATCGCTGTGCGAGGCGCGGCGTGGCGTAGCGTGGCGCGCGCCCCCAGGCTGTTATTGGGACCATACCCCGCCCCGCCCTGCCCCGCCCCACCCCGCCCCGCCCTGCCCCGCCCCACCCCGCCCTGCCCCGCCCCACCCCGCCCCACCCCAGCAGATGAATGAGTTGGTTAGGGACCATGGGAGAGCGAGTATATGTATGTAGAGTTGGGTTTCACGTTTGCCTATATCGCGGCCTTCGGCGAAGTGATACCGCGCATTGTTAATGTGTACAGCCCCCCGTCATCGGTTCGGTTGGTTTGATTTCAGACAGGCCCACTGCTCGATCGTCGGGGGAATGTGTACATTTGCACATATACGCACCGCGGCGTCATGCAGGTACATAGTCTAGTGCGCACAGAGGACACACACACACTAGCGTAACTATTCCCAACCATTCCGGTAAGGGCTTGTCCAGAAAGTACGTCCTTTCTCCTTCTTCTCAACACTCATTCGGCAAGTTACGCTAAGCGAGGCGCCTGCGAGACATTGGATAGGCACCCCCGCAGTACACGCATGCACTGTAGGCAAGATGTTGCCTACCTGCCAGGCGCCGTGTGAGAACTGAACCTGGCTCTTTCATAACGGCGAATGACGCACGTACTTTCTGGATGATCCCTCACGCCAGCAATCCGTCAAGTTATAAAAGCCCAGTGATTTCCGTTTCGTCTTTCCGCGGCATTCTCCTTCTTCCTCTTTTCAGCTTTACCCGAATGCTTTTCAAACGTGCGTACGCAAGTGCGCAAGAAACTAACGTCCTCCTGACGCGACGTACGCGGCCGCAAGCGGCTCTTGCGCGCGCCTCGCCTCCCCGCAATGATTTATGTATTAGCCATTTATTTCCCCCGTGGAGTACTATACTACAACGTAGTGTTCCGGTAGGTCGTGCCCGCGTGCTGAGCGCTCGGGGTTACAACCGGGTCAGACGCGCGGCTCCGCTGTTGCGGGTTAAACGCTCGCGTACATCCCCGGCTCTTAGTGTGCTGCAGACGCACGACGATCATTATCCGCTCGCTTGAAAGAAGAATGAAAAAGGTGGGTGTTTCTGTTTAGGAGTTTGGCGTATGCCTGTCCGCGCGCACTACACACCAAGTTTAAAACGAAATATTTCACGGTGAATTTATTGCCAATGAAAGCGGAGAGGAAGGATTATAAAAATGCCAAGCGAGAGGCGCGACTCCTTAGCCGTCCGTCCGTCGTGGCGCCGCCGCTAGCTTCCTTTTCCTTTTCGCGATAAACATTGACAGCGGGGAATACAAAAGTGTTCCACGTGCGGCCCGGTGAAGGGGGCCCGGGCCCGGCCACATGACGGCGCCAACCTTGAGGACGGGCATGGTCAGAGCGGCGATCAAGACGCTCCCGCTGCCGAATTTAGATTTCTTTTTATTCCTTCTCTTCTTTTTTTTTCGAAGAGCAGCAGTAGTCCGAGGAAGCCGGCCTTCTCTTATGTATTTTGGCCTGCGGGCTGGGCTGGCAGCACTGTGCCGGCCCGGCCCAGCACAGCACAGCACAGCCCAGCCCAGCCCAGCAAGCACAGCACAGCACAGGGGATCGCCCAGAAAGTACGTCCCGGTAATTCCGTTTTCCACAGAATCATTCGGGAAGTTGGGGAAGCTCGCCGCCTGCGAGACTCGAGGTAGGCTACCCCGCAGTACACGTATACATTGCGGGCGCAAGAAATTGTCTACCTACCAGGCGCTCTGAGAGCTTGCCGGGGCGGGGTCTTCTGAACTTGGCAGGTTCCTGAAGGCGAATGACGGACGTACTTTCTGGATGGTCCCCAGCTCAGCCTAGCCCAGCCCAGCCCAGCCCAGCCCGCACGGGCCCGCAAAGGCGCCCAAAGTCAAGGTGACTCGGAGTGTGGAGTACTTCCCTGCGGCCGGCCCGGCCCAGGCCCAGGGGGCCCCGGCTGCCGGGTACGCAGCACTGTCAGTAATTAATCACGTCATTAATAATTTTAATCACGGCCTACGTACTGACGACATAGAAACGGAGCACTCCAATTAATATGGTGTCTGATGACGAAAAGAGGGACGAATAAATTTAAATCGGAAGCGGGAAATGGATGCCGAGGCCAATGATATGAGACACTTTTGTGGCGATTTGTGTTTTCATTTCATTTGATGGATGTGGGTACCAGTTTTCCATGCCACCTGATGAAGAAGAAGAAGAAGAAGAAGAAGAAGAAGAAGAAGAAGAAGAAGAAGAAGAAGAAGAAGAAGAAGAAGAAGAAGAAGAAGAAGAAGAAGAA